TGAATTTTCGTGTGAGGGTTATGGAGATTTTTGGTACTAACTCCGAGAAAAGAGTGGACCAAAGGATAGATTTCAGCGCTACATTGGGACAACGGTTACAATCCTACCATATTCGGCTATGTCCGTGCGTGTGCGTCTAACTCTTTGACACGAATATCATAGCGCCGGTTCAACTTCAACTTCGACTCGCTGATCCAACTTTAACCCATTGCTCGAGCTATTTTCAACTATTTTTCTACATTTTGCTGGAAAATGAACTGTGACGGTTTGGCGTATTTTGCACACTCTACCTCGCCTAAAGAAAGAGTGCCTGGCGAAGCCAGGCCGGCCCGGCGAAGCCGGGCCGTGATAAAGAAGGAGGAGCACCCGGCGACAGCCGGGTGATCCGACTGGTATATAAACAAACAGAGGGCGTAGATTGGATTCATCAAGGTCGAAGTCAGAAAGGAGTAAGATAGCAAGACCTGGCGAAAGTGGGGTTCAGATGGCACAATTGCAAAGGTACTTTGGAGGGCACTTTCTATACTTCAGTGAGAACTCAATGTAATTGGTAGCGCCTTTCCTCCTCTATCGATGACCACTCACTTGCCTCAATCAATGCAAATTGGCTGAAAAACAGATCAAAGCCACGTAGTGGCAAATGGAACATTACTTTCTTTACAGCCTAATACATACACTCACATTAGACATACCTACCATTTGTGGAACATGTTTGGTTGAAAATTGGGGACAGTTCGGCGCCGGGAGGGGTGGCATTTTGCTTTCCATTGATGTGTCGACCCATCTAGATAGCCTTTTCTTGAGTTGACACGTTTTACCATGGTGGCTAGACGAGCTTGCTCCAGCTTCACAAGAGTTCACAAGTTTCACCAGAGTGAGATTTGTAAACCGAAAGTATCAAAGCAGTGAAAGTAAAAATGCCCCCTCGCCGAACTGCGCCGAAAATTGTATTGTTATCCTAGGCGAACGCGTTTGCGGGAGTGGTCGATTTTCGAACGTCTATCTAGCAGATCTTGTTGAGCCTGAAACACGAAAAGTTGCAATTAAGAATTCATGGTTTGTTTAATTAATGTTCTCTCGTGACTATCTTGAAGGCGCCAACTCTAACAGCATGACGAGGCTTTTTTGTGCGCACGAACAACATCTCGGCTCATAAGCAGGGCACGCCATCGCGTTGTGTCCCTTTTTTAGCCAAGAATTTATCAACGAGGGAGGGGGGGAGGTCGTCGAGGATTTGACTTATCATTTTCATCTGGTAGTAGTTGTATAGATCTTTGGCAGTCCCTCTCCCAACCACGACCAAGTACGGCCCCCCCTTTTCGTGAAACAAGAGAAGTCAAATCAAAAAATTTTCTGAGGCCAAGTACGACCCACTCTCCCTCGCGGTCAAATACGACCCCCCTCCCGCCGTTGTGATCATCACAACGATGGCGTGCCCTGCTCCATCGTTGTGATGACTGCAAGGTAAAAGAAATGTTGAACTGTTAGAAGAGGCCCGACCTTATAGTCACACTTGCCTCCGACAGGGTGAATATGATGACACTGAGGAGAAGGCACTTTGCTCGGCTTTATCGGAATCTGTCGAAAAGCCCCATACATAATACAATACCCGATGTCATTCAGAGAACTGCGTGCGCACAACTAGGTTTAGCTAGTGTGCCTGTCGTCTCACTACTCCATGGTCCCAACAGCCTCACTTTCCATAACATTAAAAACTCGGTGGGCGGAACAGTGGTTGCTAACCATGGAAGCTATAACGGCGGACTTTGATTAACTCCGTTGCATGCTACACTAAATTGTCAACTTCCAGGGAACCAAAAAATGTTATTATTGCTAAGGATCAGCTATATCCCGAGATTGAAGTGCTGTCACATATTCCTCCTCATCCAAATGTCGTCACGCTCCTCTACCACTTTACAAGAAAAATTGATAAGCAGGTACTGGAGCTTGCTTGAGCATTACTCATAGAAACTTGAAGGCAGGTGACGCAGTTACCGATCAAGTTGCTTAGTAATTCAACAGTGAAGAAGAAGCAAAAGGTATCGAAAATACATCAAACGAGGTCCTTGTTTGTTACAAGCATTATCTGAGCCTACGGTGAAGTGACAGTGAGCATACCATTCGAAAGGAGAAACAGATCGTGATAGGGCGAGACAGTAAATAACTGAGAGACATCACAGTTAGATTTTTGCTCACAAGAAATGAAAGCGACTGACAAGACGGTGACGAGCGGTGTGGGGGGGGGGGGCGGTGGCTGCTTTTCGCAGCAGGATCGTGTCACGTAAGTTTAGGCTGCGAAGGTGATAAATTTTCTGCGATTGTGGACTGCACCATCCTCTGCAAGATGGTGTTTGGCTTCGAACGGGCTTCAACCTGTCTTTAGAAATGGCAAGATAGGATTATTATTCTATCCCACTAACCATAAGTGAGAAAAAGGGTAGTCATAGGATGTGAAACATCTAATCCTTATTGTATGGCAAGAGAAAGAATTCGCTGAAGGAGGATTTTGGGGGCTTTTTCAGGCACACTTTTACCGATTTATTACTTCGGACGAATGAGTGCACGAGAGTGACTCACAACGAAGGTCCTGTCGATCAGGGTTCTTACTATGGTATGGCTACGAAAGCTTGCCCATGAAGAAGCAAGAACTTGTGGATGTCGGGAAATTCGTGCCTGAAGCTGCGAGGAACAACTGTGGGCTCAGGCCATAAAGTGTTTTGGTGAGGCCCAGAGGGTGAAGAAGTCCAGGATAGCCCCTCATCCCCACGAAAACCTTCAATCATTTTTGATCACTCGAGTTCTGAGCTGCTTGCGTACAAGATGTTGCAGGACGCTACAATCCATGGCCTAGCATTCTGGCACGATTTCATTTATTCACTACAAAGAAGTGATCAATGTTCACCGTTACTCTGATATATAGTGAAGCCACACCTTGACTTCAAATACATCTCAGAAAGTAGAATAACATTTGTGTACTTATGTACGATATTATTATCGGACCAGATTCTTGCTCCCGGACTAGCTGCCTGCTACTTATCCAACACTCTCATTGGACCCTTCGTGCGATTCCTCCATGCCATATCACTCACAAAGTCTAGAGTATATACCGACCGCCGACTACCTACAACTGCCTGATTAAGGTTTGAGCGTGGGCGGCTACCTAGCCTCTACTGTTAGTCTGAGAACCCATAGGCAACAGCCCAACCCGCACATGACTTAGGTTGAGGGGCTCAGTAACATCTTATCTTGCGCTTCATCTCCTGCCTTGTCTGTCGTTCAGGAAGCCAATGGGTTCCCTATGTCGGCCACAATATGGAAGAGTGGCGACTATGCCAGCGGTCTTAGTTGTTCTTCACAAAAGGGTCAACCGTGACCCACTCTAGTGGGAGGTTTGCACTTCTGATACTTTATATCGACGTATCGACCTACTAGACAGTCTCTTTCGAGTTGACAGGTTTCACCATGATGGCTTGACGAGCTTGCTCCAGCTTCACAAGAGTTCACAGGTTTCACCAGAGTGAGACTTGTAATCCGGAACTAGTGAAGCCACGAAAGTGTGTAAAATGCGCCCCCCCCCCGTCGCCAAACTTCACTTCTTCAAAATGGTCCTTCTTACTATGATGGTGATGCTTTTTGCGTAATGAGGTCCTTCCTGACGATAGAGTTGGTTTTCAAAAATGCAAGAAGATCCTGGCATAAGACAGGCAGAGCCGAACCTATTCAGGCGTAGAACCATGTTTACAGATACAGTGGTGCTCACCAAACTAAGGTTCCAGCTAAAATTTCAAAAATACCGTCCTATGCGGCTGCGGATGCTTGAACGTGATAGAGGGGCTGTGTTTGGAGCTGTGCCAGCCAACGTTCCACCAATAGTTGCCCCTTGTCTTGAAGTACTGATGAAATAACAACTGGACGCGCCAGAGCCATGCCAGACACGCCCTCCATCCCACTGACACGCCCTAGCATCCGCAGCGGGCAAGACTGTGGTACAGGCCTTTTATTCGTTTAATCTGGTTCTCAGTATAAAGTACAAATCAAGACTGAAGGAGCCCTCGGTCTTCCGATTTCTTCAAAGAGAGTGCAGGATCCATAAGAACCTTTCTCTTACAGGTTATTCATTGTCTGGTGCTGGACTATTTCCCTGACGATGTGCAGAAATTGCGCGAAAAAGGCATACGATTTGATGCTCTCGACGCTCAGGTGAATAATAATTTGATGGAAAATACCGCAATCGATAGAATTGTCACTTAAGTCGGCCACTTCCTTCTTACCGAATACGAACCGCTATCGACAAAACCCAACATTTCTGATCATGAAATCGTTTGCATTTGCACAAAGTCTCCGCATAATTCGCACTTCTCGAAAGCTCCCATCGCAAAGCGCAGTACCCAATTCCAAAATAAGCTAGCTATTTTTTTGTACAATACTTAAAGATGAAGAAAGTTTTCAATCAGAAGAGGAAAGATATATGGGTAGAGAACTACTAAAAGAACGCAATGGTTTGTTCCGTCCCTTACTTATAGTAGAGTATATTGAATTTCAGTTATACTCGTACCAATTGTTCTCGGCGGTGAGCTGCCTCTGTAATTGCAAAATTATCCACCTTGATATCAAGCCTTCCAATTTGGTCCTTAATCACGCTGGTAGGTGTGATGAGGATTCTTTGTTGCTTTAGAATAACTATTTTTTTGTTGCTTTCGAATGAACTATTATAGGAGAGACGTGATATTCAGGAGGGAACACTGAAGCTGGCAGACTTCGGAAACGCTGTGCACTTCGGTACTGTGGGATCATCTTCATACCAGGTGAGGTGTTGTCCAGCGTAGCGCCACAGCGTCGCGCTACAGTTGTACCAAACTCCAGCTTTTATGTTTTTTTCTTTCTGTATTCAACCCTCTTCTTTTTGTTTCTCATATTTATCTGATAGTGAGCTCCTGTTTTCTACTTTATCACATTTTAATGTAGTTTTTTGAACAGAAGACTGTGATAATCGGTTTTTATTTATCGTTTTTGACTTTAATTATTTGGTTTCAGAGTTGCTATTGATGTTTAATGGCTTTGCTTGATGTCTTGCAGTGCTGCCTCGTGTTGATCCCGATTGCGAAATTGTTAGTGTTTTCATGTTTATGCAAAAATCTACATTAAAATGCTGATAAAGTAGAAAACAGGAGTTCACTACAGCATAAATAGAGAAAACATTAATTCGTGGTTTGAATACGCGGGAATCCCAGCTAAGGCTATTGTGTACACTTCCTTATCCCTTGATACGTTGAAGTAGGCGTTGGCAATCTTTCAACATGACATAGGATAGGTTACCCCTAATTTAGGTTGTCGCATAAGTTCTTATACACGTGTTTGATCCTCTCCTATTTCGTTCGCATGGATGTTGGTATTACGTCATGGTCGTCATGCGTGACATGTACATTATACTCTTTTATTACACTTGCTATCACTCACCGAGCTTGCATTTGCAGTACACAATGTCGCACAATTTGCACTGTGACAAAACGTACCTGCGCCACTGTTTGGTTTTGCTCCACGATTTCGGCTGGAATGCAAAGGAAGCCCATACCAAGCTGGTGGATACATACGGTGAGGACGTCATCTCTTACATGACATGCAAGAATTGGTTCGCCAAATTCAAGAAAGGAGACTTTTCTCTCGAAGATGCTCCGAGGTCGGGTCGGCCGATGGAGTTGGATTTGGAAGTACTACGTTCCACCGTGGAGGAGGACCCGTACCTCACCACCAGAGAAATGGCGACCATGCTTAGCTATGATTATTAGACGGTTGCACGTGGACTAGAAAATGGCGACCATGCTTATCATTCGACGGTTGCACGTGGACTAGAAAAGCTCGGCAAGGTAGCAAAGCTTGGTCGATGGTTCCCACACGAACTCTCCGCTATAACTCTCGAGCGAGGCGTGACCGCACCGTGGCACTTCTCTCCTCACTTTCCAAAGAGGGCTTCACTTTCTCAACTCGGATGATCACTGGAGATGAGAAGTGGGTCCTCTACGATAACCCTGTGAGGAAGCGGCAGTGGGTCGACAAAGGAACAGCCAGAAGCCACCCCAAAGGCCGACCTTCACCCCAAAAAGGTTCTCCTGTCCTGTTGGTGGTCCAGAAGAGGCATGGAGTACTGGGAGCTGCTGGAGAAGGGACAGACGATTGACGCTTCCACATACGTGCGCGGAAATTGAAAGATCACGTCGACCGTACTCGTGGAAGGAATGCGGAAATCTACTTCCACCATGACAACGCCCGACCTCACACTGCAAAGGCGACCCAGGCCGAGCTGGAGAAGTACGGATGGCTGATGGTCGCCCACCCTCCCTACAGCCCTGACCTCGCTCCTTCTGACTACTGGCTGTTCAGCCACCTGCAGCGCTATCTGGACGGAAAGTTCGAAACACTGGATCTGGTCAGAAAGGCGCTCGACGCCTTCTTCAAGTCCCAGCCTCTCTCGTTCTGGAAGGATGGAATCGACAAGCTGCCTGAGCGCTAGCGTCGAGTAGTGAATGCCCGGCTCCACTCCGCTCGCATACACTAATCTCCAGCGCTGGTTCACTTTTGCGAGATATTTACAAAAAAGTCGTGTATAAGAACTTATGCGACAACCTAATATATTTTAACTTGAGACAACTGTCACCTTGTCCTGTGTCCACAGTTTTCCCAAAATGAAAATATTTCACCAGGAGCACTGTCACAGCCAGGCCTAGTTGAAGCCCGCAGCCACGCCCACCGCATCTCAGGGAGTATATGTACAGAGGAGATGGCAGTTGGTTCATGGCACGCACCAACAAAGTTTAGCCGCAGTTGGTGACGCGGGTGAGAACAAAACATATGAAGGCATACATTACATTCACCTTTGTGGATACTGGTCCTTGCTATATGTGTGGTGAATGAGTCCGCAGTTTTGGAAGTGTACCAGTGACTCCATTCAAAAGCTACGGGACTCCGCCCGTGCTGCTGCACTGCCAGGCACACGCTCAGGCATGATCAAATGCGTTGTTTTTCTGCGCCCCCTTATTTTTGTTGTTCTGTACTTCCAACGGTATGTTTGCTGTGAGACTTTGACGATGCAAATGCTGTACCTTGACGATAGGGCGCAGAGTCCTGACAGGAAGGACAGAGCAGTGCACTATATAAACGTGATGACTTTTTATCCCCCCTCCCAACAATGAATGTTTTTTTGCCAAGGTACTTCTCGACTCCAGTATGATTGACAAGGGTTGCCATAATTGCCTGTTACTCTGTATTCGGCAATTTTCAGCACCACATCTTATTCGAAGGCAGTAGGATTCCAACCAGTTTTTCTAGAAAGTTTGTGTTATGGTGACCTGATCGTTGACGTTCAACAAACAGGCGGCCTTACAAATTACAATACAATAATGAAACGGCGATAGGGACGCCGGGCTCAGCTCAGAAGAGCAGACAATCATTTGCCTGTAATCCATAAAAGCGAAATATGCTCAGGTGGACCAGTCTACGAATCCAGCCTATGGCCCCTTTGAGGGGCCAGTATATAACCCACTAATATGACTCTTATACTGCCTTATCCTAATTGTTTCCAGGTAACCAGGTATTATCGACCTCCCGAGCTACTGTTCGGCAGCACTGTTTTGACTCCTGCTATCGGTAATCTTCTGGTGAAATTAGTCATACCTAGTGATGTTTCCCAACTTCTATTCTCTTCTAGATGTTTGGTCTGCTGCCTGTGTTACTTATGACTTTATCACGACTAGACCTCTGTTCAAAGGACGTAGTTCTGAGGATCAAGTTCGTTCAATTAATGTATTATAAGGAATAATGAGCACTTGGGCAGAGCATGTGCTTCAGACGGGCTGAACTGTGCCATCAGCTCCATACCGTATCAGCAGCAAATGCTCACTCTTGCGCTCCCCGAGGCGACCTCCTCTGAGGGAGTGAAAACGAATACGTTTCAAAGAGCACTTCAGGTGAAAATTATCGTGAACGTCCTCGGTTATCCCAACAGCTGAAGAGGTGAAAGCGATGATGTCAAGCCGTCCGCGTGTGCACAGAAGCACTGCGCGAGGACTGGATAAGGTTAGCTTTCTGCAAATGCTACTCCATGATTTCCGGAAAGTCTCTATTTCATCTGTTGACAGTTCGTTGGCGCGGATTTTGATCCGACAGCACTTTCGCTATTGCAAGACGTTCTTCTCTACGATCCAACGAAGCGCAAAACGGCCTCTCAAGTACTCAAACACGCCTACTTTGAACCGTTGAGGCAGGTGAGCGTACAAAAGCTGGGACGTTCTGTAGGACGATAATGAATCACTTTCTCCCACGTAGATGTTGACTGTACCCTTCTTCCGGAAATTACTTCTAGGTACATTAACTAGTACTATACGAGCCTAGCATCCTGCTTCCCTGTAATCATCCCTTCCAACCTTCGTATCCTCTAAAACAGGGTGTAACGTATGCTAGGGGGGGAATGTACTTGGTCGCTGGGGATAGGGGGGGGTCGATCTTCAGAAAAGACCGCTTCCGGTTGCTTCCTTCCCGTTCCGAGTTTCCGATACCCCCGCTCAACTGCTGTTCCTTGGAGGGAAAATGCAGGAAATGGCAGTTAGGATGGATGATCCTCGGGAGAGAATCGGGAAGGAAGGTCGCACCAGACAGGGCACGTCATCATTGGGGAGGGGAGTCGTGCTTGCCTTTATGGGTAGAGGAAATTTTCACCGGTTGTGGCGTTCTCCAGGTTTTTCCTGTTTTACATGTGCTATACACCCTCTCCATCACCCGCTCGACAGCAAAATTTTGCGAAAAAGTAGGAACATTCTCGGAACATTTCGGACAAGCTGGTAAGAAGGAGGGGAAAATCCGAGAAAGTGGTAGGTGAGATGGGAGGGGAGGAGTCAAATTTTCTAAATTTCCTCGCGGCTTTTCCCGTTTCACTTGCTGAAATACAACCCCCCCCCCGACTACTCTATCAGAGGAGGGAAGTATGGGTGATTCGTATCGAGGGGGGAAGAGTGAAGTCGCACTGACGCGACCAAGATCCCCACCCAAGCCGAAGTCAGTTGACTGTCCTGGTGCAAACCAGAAGCAAGGGTTTCGGGTGGGGCTGGAGGGTCGGAGGGTAAGAATCCTTCAACAAAAGTTTCCCAGGCAAATGCGCAGATCGACGTGCTCTGAAACGCTGACAGGGCCTCGTGAACACGACCGGTTTGCCCAGCACCTAGCAGTTTGCGTTGTTTACCCAGAGATGGTGTATTAAACAGCTTGGCACTGGAGCGTTCCTGCCCTAGTTGTTGGGAAACATTACCGTCACCCCCCCAAGTCAATTTTACCGCCTAACTCGTTCTGAAAAAACTGCCCAACAACTTCTCTGCATAGATGGGGCATACACAGAGATCCCAGCTCGAGCGGAACCTGGAGCCGACGATTTTCGCCAATGCGATCAAGTCATTTCATCTAATCTTCTTATTTCAGCATGCCACCACACTGGAAAAGAAGCAACGGTAAGCCGATTCCACCTCTGGCGATGGATCGATGGCGTGTACGTTCTCGAGAAGCTGTGAGATATTACACTGGCTTCTTTCTAAACGAACAAATAAGTTCAGTGATCCTCCGTTGTTCAGGAGGATGAGTCTCCCACAGCATCGCATAAGAACTAAACCGCTGAAGAATGGAAGCGATTTGACAGTCCGAGCGTTATTTCGAATTCGGTATGATTCGTGAAAACGACATACTTTACCAACTTAAATAAAAAAATTGTTCGGGAAATTGGATTCTGCTCAGTCCTCACACCAAAACATGGTAGCCTCCGTCAAGAGGAAAAAGAGACTCATTGTCAGTGCTAAACCAATAAGATTTCTTTGTAGCTATTTTTGCTCATCCTAATCAGAGCGGGCCATGGTTCTATCTGTGCATTGTTCACACAACGTGCCAGATGCACACTACGCTATTCGGTTCATGTGGTTCATGTGCAGTCAGGCCATTCAACTGGCTTAGGCCATTGTTTGCAACAGCACCAACGGAGAATCCTACTATATGTAACCCGCAAGTCTGTCTGTCTGTCTGTCTGTCTGTCTGTCTGTCTGTCTGTCTGTCTGTCTGTCTGTCTGTCTGTCTGTCTGTCTGTCTGTCTGTCTGTCTGTCTGTCTGTCCATAGCGAACGTCCCAGTTGCTGCGGAAAGTTGATTCCAAGCAATGATTCAGGGGCTGTGAAGGGAAAGTGGGTGACAGGAAATACCAAATGATAAGATCTGATAAAAGACGTCAGAAGGGGAAGGTCACCAAGTCTACATTAAGCTTCATTGAGGCTTTTGTTTGCACCGTTTGTGGTGTGCGTCTGTTCGAGCACTTTCAACACTGCCTCTATAAGAAATGAAGGGTGATGAGTACATCCATGACATGAAATTTCAAAGAGAACACATGAGAGTCACATTCACGTCCATCACCACGGGAAGTCTGCATTCGATTCCATACAAAGAGAGTGAGACGTAAAAATAGACTGAGTAGAAGCGGGAGGATCAGAATGTGAAAGTCAAAACGTTTGCTGATGACCTTAAGGTTTACAATCCAGTCCTGTCTTCCAATCAGCTTCAGCTGCAAAAGGCAATAGATGTTATAGCGCATTGGTCCAACTCGAACATGCTTCCACTATCTGCTGGCAAAACGAAAGTGCTTCATTTAGGTGAATCCAATCCTAGCATTCAGTACTACATTCACAACGATGCTATTGAAGCGGTAGATTCTGTTATGGACTTAGGCTTTCTAGTCAACAATAAGCTGGATTTCGGAGATCATGTGAACAATATAGTAGCTAAAGCTGAGCAGAGAGTTTTTCTATTGTTTAAGTCTCTCCTCTCTAAGAACCCGTTTCTACTTATAAAGGCGTACAAAACGTATGTGCGTTCGGTACTTGAATATGGCACATGTATTTACTTTCCCCGTAAGAAGATGCTGATTGATAAACTTGAAAGGGTGCAGAACAGCTTTACTAGAAAGCTTTTCCTCAGAGCCCTTGGTTTTACATACAAAAGTATACCTCGAGGTTTGAGGAATAAAATGATCAACTTGGATCCATTATGTGTGAGGCTTAGGCGAAACGATCTTCTTATGGTGTACAACATCCTTAACAAACGTATTGATCTTAACCGTCAGTCAGCTTATACAATACCCGCCGTAATTGTTCGAAAAAAAGAAAAAACGCGGATCCGCGTTTTTTTCGTTTTTTCGCTGTAACTCAATTTGGGTATCCCTTTCTCATATGGAAAACACTATTACGTTAGACTCACAGCTCGTCGAGCTCTATGAGCTGGCATCCAAAAAAATTAAAAAAGTTGAAAAATGAACTCTGCTCCTGGTCGAAGTACCTGAGGACACTCGTTAGCGAGCGAGTCTCGCTATAATTGTAACCAGAGGGTAATCGTTGGAAATCAAATCATCCAGAATTCAAATAGCGTACTGTATGACCTAAGAATTGATTAGAAATCGGATAGTTGAATTTTCTAAATTGTGCTGATCGTAACGGTGTCAATTTTTCTGAAAATGGCAGGTTTTGCGAGATGTCGTTTTCCTACGAGACAGCCTTTTCAGTCTGAAGAATCTCGAGCTCTGGTTCACTTAGAACTATAGAAACACAATGACCCAAAGCATAGGACCCTGTGTCCTCAGTAATCGCAAAAGTTAAGAATGAAGTGAAAAAAGGGTTTTTAGCTACTTGAAGTGAGCGCATCGCGCGATACTAGGCCAATACTCGAATTGAAGCGTTTTCAAAGCAGGATTTTCAGCGCTCTGAGTGGTACCGTAAATTCCATAAAAGAGATACGTACGGAAGGGCTTGTGTTTTCCAAAAACACGGTGGAAAACAGTGACAGTAGTTGAATTGGTTGGCTACTAGAGGTCAACCCCTTGTCAGAGTCTTCACTTCAGAAACAAAAATTGCGCCTTTCCCAAGAAAAGAAAAACAACTGTCAAAGTAGAAAGACATTTGAATCCCGTATAAAAGATTAATCACTATATCACTGAAGAAATACACCTCCATCAATTTTCGAATGACCGCGTCCTTGTTTCCCACCGGCTACCTGGGCCCTGTCTGCTGGTCAAGTCGACCGTCCATAATTAGTATCTCATCGAAGTGTCAGCCAATTGTATTATCAGAATCTTACAATTCACGGGACAGTGGCTGCTCTGTTATTCGTATTTCGCATAATAGTTTCGTGAGGCAATGTTCTAGGAAATGTGCTTTCAAATCAAAACTTGAACTTTCATGCAAAATTCAAAAAAAAACTTTGCTCTGCGTTACAAACCGCTCCACCGTTTAGGGTTCGTTTTTAGAATAAATTTGCATAAGTAGGAGAAGAAGCGCCGATTTTACAATGCTCCACTGCTCTAAGCAACTGGTTGCGCTATAAGGTACAAAAGAGCATGAAGATTTCTTGAATTCCCAAGGGTTACTCTGAATTCTAAAATAGAAACATAGCCGTTTTTAGATAGATGAGTTGATTTGAACATTTCATTGGACACACCCCATTCAAACAGTGTGAAATCTCATGCACATTCGGCTCAAAGTCTGTTGATGATGTACGAAAAAGGTCCTTAGGTAATGAGCGCAGGCACCGCGGAGGTCGACAGCTGCGATCGGCTGCAGGTCTCGTCAAGACACAACTGACAGAAAGCAAGTATAGATAATATATTTGTGGTGGTTCGGTAAACGGTAGATACTTCCGCAGGCTAACTGCAAAAACGAAAACAATACGATTTGGCGATTTTCGCGCTTAATCGAGAATCGTGAACAGCAAACCTTCCGGTACACTGCGGATCGTATTTTTATTTTAATTTTTGGATGCAGATCCGGATTGCCTCAAGTAATTGTACATAGAGCTACAGTTGAAAACGAGAGTAACTTTCCATAATGCTGGTGATCATGGGAGTTACTCAGAACACGAATCTATCATGAGAGTTTGTAACCGAAAGAAGCAAAATTTTTTTTTTGAAAATATTTGATGGAATTTTTTTGAAATTTTGATGGAAGTTCAAGTTTGAATTGAAAGCAACATTGCCTAGAGCCTTTCCTCACGAACCTTCTGCGAAATAGATAACAGAAGAGGCCACTGGGTGAAATTGTAAGACTGATCAATACAATGGCCTGACACTTCGATGGGATAACTAATTAGGAGGTCGATTGACCGCAGACAGGGCAGGTAGCCGGTGGAAACAAGGACGGGTCATAGAAAGCTTTATGAAGGTGATTCTCATATGAAATAGATAACATTTTTCATAGGGATTCAAATGGTTCTACTTTGACAGTGGTTTTCTTTCTTTGGAAAAGGCGCAATTTTTGTTCTGAAATGAAGACTTGAAGTTGGAACCCGGTAGTAGCAACCAATTCAACTACTGTCACTGTTTTCCACCGTGTTTTTGGAAAACACAAGCCCTAGTCCGTACGTATCTCTTTTATGGAATTTACGGTACCACTCAGAGCGCTGAAAATCCTGCTTGAAAACGCTTCAATTCGAGTATTGGCCGTAGTATCGCGCGATGCGCTCACTTCAAGTAGCTAAAAAACCTTCTTTTTCACTCAAATTGCTTAACTTGCGAATACTGAGACGAACAGGGTCCTATGCGTTAGCTCATGGTTCTGTATTCTAAGTGAACTCAGAGCTCCGAGAATTCTCGCAGGACTTTAAAAGGCTGTGTCGTAGGAAACGAACATCTTCGCAAAACCTGCCATTTTCAGAAAAATTGACACCGTTACGATCAGCACAATTTAGAAAATTCAACTATCCGATTTCTAATCAATTCTTAGGTCATACAGTACGCTATTTGAATTCTGGATGATTTGATTTCCAACGATTACCCTCTGGTTACAATTATAGCGAGACTCGCTCGCTAACGAGTGTCCTCAGGTACTTCGACCAGGAGCAGAGTTCATTTTTCAACTTTTTTAATTTTTTTGGATGCCAGCTCATAGAGCTCGACGAGCTGAGTCTAACGGTATAGGATTCCATATGAGAAAGGGATACCCAAATTGAGTTACAGCGAAAAAACGAAAAAAACGCGGATCCGCGTTTCGTTTTTTTTTCGAACAATTACGGCGGGTATTGTAGTCTTGCGCCTTCTAGGACTAGAGGTTGGAATTTCAGGCTTGTTTTTCGGCAACTTTTTAGGCTGCAAATTTTTAACTTTTCGTGCATGCATGGCGTTTTTAAAGATGAGCAAATCTATACCGATTTCCGCTCGTTTTTCAGAAAGATAGACTTTACAAAGTCGGTTTCGTTGGTTGAATTGTGTGAAATAGGGTCTTGCTTTTGTTTTGTTTTTCATTTTCTTTTTTGCGCTTATTTTTGGCTGACGTTCTATTTAGTTGTTGTTTATTTTTTGATGATAAGTTTACGCAACTACATGTCACAGAGCATTTGATAAATTTGAAGTTGACTTTAGAAGTATCTTTCAGCTGAGGCCCATTAGAAAGAGATTTGCAAAATATCGATTTGAGTCTCAAACGTATCTATATC